GTTCCAAAGGGATCGGGATGTTCCCAAGGGGTTTGGGATGTTCCCAAAAGGATTGCCAGACCCCAGGGGCTGTTCCAGGGAACGCCCTCATCCCAAATCCAAGGCCTTGGGAGGATCCTTGGGATGAATTCCAGAGGCTGCTCCAAGCCCCATCCCACCTTTCCTGTGACAATCCCAGAGATTCCTGGGAAAACTCTGCCCGTCCCTCCCCCTTCCTCCTCCTCCTCCTCCCAGTTTTATCCCTGAGCACATCCAGGTGGGAAATCCCTGGGATGAGCTGGGATTGGTTTTCAATCCCCATTTCCCATCCCTGTGCCCATTCCCATCCCAGATCCAATCCCTGTTTCCCATTCCCGTTCCCATTCCCATTTCCCATTCCCGTTTCCCATCTCCATTTCTCATTCCTGTTTCCCATTCCCGTTCCAATCCTCGTTCCCATTCCCATTTCCCATTTCTGATCCGCATTCCCATCCCTGGTTTCCCATATCCATTTCCTGTCCCTGTTCCCATCCCCGTTCCTATTCCCGTTTCCATCCCCATTTCCCATTCCTGTTCCCATTCCTGTTTCCCATTCCCATCCCCATTTCCCATTCCTGTTTCCCATTCCCATCCCCATTTCCCGTTCCTATCCCAGCTCCTTTCTGTGCTTCCTGGAATTCCCCTCTGGAATTGGGGCTGGATCTGCGGGATCTCCATTTTTTAGGGAACAAACCCCTCCAGGGAACGGAGCCAAAATTTGGGAAAACATTGTGGGATTGGAATGAGCTTTCCTAAAAATCTGGATCAGGAACAGGTTCAGAGTTCAGAGCATCCTGTGGGAATCGTGGAATATTTTGGGCTGGGAATTCTGACCATTCCCAGTTCTGCCAAGGATCCGCGACCCTGAAATCCCCTGGGATTTAAATCCTGCAGGGAATGGGGACTCCAGGGCTGAGAATTCCACACAGGATCCGTTCCCAAAATCCAACTGAACTTTCCCAGGAAGTTTGAGGCCGTTCCCTCCTGTGGGTGATTCCTGAGGAGCAGATCCAGGATTTCCCGTGGGATCAGCAGATCCCGATCCCAGTGGGATTTTCCACTTCCAGTGGATCCCAGCAGGATTGTCCATGGGATCAGCAGATCCCATTCCCAGTTGGATTTTCCTGTAGGATCAGCAGATCCCAATGCCTGTGGGATTGTCCATGGGATCAGCAGACCCCGATCCCAGTGGGATTTCCCATGGGATCACCGGGAATTGTCCCCGCAGAGCCCAGCCCTGTGTCCGTCACCATCCCGGCCTCTCCCTTCATGCAGAAGTTGGGATTCGGCACCGGAGTCAGCGTCTACCTGATGAAAAGGTTGGGAATTGTTATCCTGGGAAATCCCGGAGGTGATCCCGGTTTTCTTCTCCATGGATATGGAGCCGAGCGAGGGATTTGGGAATTGTGGAGCTGAGAAGGAACGTGGAGTTTTGGGATAACCCTGCCCCGGCTGGAATTCTGGGATTTGGGCTCCATTCCTGGGAATTCTGGAACTTGGGCTCCATTATTTTGGGATAATCTTGGCCCAGCTGGAATTCCAGGGATTTGGGCTCCATTCTTGGGAATTCCAAGATTTTTGGGCTCCATTGTTTTGAGATAACCCTTTCCCAGCTGGAATGCCAGGGCTTTGGGCTCCATTCCTGGGAATTCTGGGATTTGGGCTCCATTGTTTTGGGATAACCCTGTCCTGGCTGGAATTCAGGGATATTGGACGCCTTTATTTTGGGATA